ACCTAAACTGCTTCCTGCAGAAGTTGGATTTAAATAATTTCTGAAAACAAGTCAAAGGAAGGGAGAATTCACTCATTCCATTATTCAGTAGATTCTCCATGCATTTACCATGTGGGAAGACTCTACATTATTTCCATATGATATATATTATTTGTTATTTTGTATAAACATACATTGCATATAAAGCAAATTTAAATTTTATCCTGATAATACCTCACACAAAGAAAAGTGTGTGTGACAAGATAACCCCAGGTTGGTCTAACTAGGCATTTTGTAGAAATAATTCTCTGCTAGCCATTTTTAAATTACTTTTCCAAAGACTGAGGAATGTATACTTTTTGTAGACCTTAAATGTTAATGATTTAGTATTTCTATACTGAACTATCAAAATATCATTCCTAGCAAACCACTTTGGAACACAAATAAAGTTTTACAGTTAAAACTTTTAAATATCACAGGTGGTTTAGTTTTTAATGCAAACACAAATACTATCAGATAATTTTTACATTTTATAATTGGTATTCATGATTATGCAGAAAAGTATTTATATAACAGGCCTTAGTATCCTATCATTAGAAAGCCTTATTTAAAATGTTCATCTGGGACTGTCATCTGAAAACTTAACTTTTAGAAAGGTTTCCACCATTCCTTACATGATGAATAGATCATTGTACCTGAAATTTTTAGGCAAATAATATGATTTATGCTCTTTGGGAGGGAGGCTTGAATCTTGATTTGTATAAATCTGAAAATGCCTATATAACCAGCCCCTACTATAAAAACCTTGGTTGCTGAGTCTCTAGTGAGCATCTGATTGCCATTTCACACACATTGTTAAAATTCATTGCTTTAGGAATTAAGTGTAACCTGTTTGTTTCCAACTGGGGGAGAACTCTTGGAAGCATGTGCTTATAATGAATCATGACTGTGAGCACCATCATGTCCTGAGTCCTGTGAGTTTCCTAACAAGTCTTCAAATGTGGAGGTGGTCTAAAGACTTGGATAAAATAATTGGTAGAACAAAAATGTTGATTAAAACAAAAGTAATATGTTGAGAAAAAACAGAAAGTGGTATGTTGAAGGGCAGGATAAGTTTGCCAGATAAACAGTAGTCAATGTATTTATAGAAACTTAAGAGAAAGAGACTTTTATTTCTGATAGTATCTAGACTAAATACTGAAAATATCTCTTTTTTATTTTATCACAAATCTGTTTTTTAAATATCTATAATGAAATATCATGCTGCATCCCACAATAAATGTATATTTTAAAATGTTGATTAGGTATTTTTATTTCATAATGTAGATAATTTCTTATAACTGTACTGAATGCAAATATAACAGTATAAGTGGGAAACAAGTATGTTAGGAGTGTGTGTTCAAAAGTTTTTCTGAGAAAGTGATCAGAATGAAGTATTTGGAAGACCTGTGTATTATAGTATGAACACTCACATGGATCATTTTATATTAATGTGACATAAATTTATGGGTATACATTCCCTAGGAAACTGCATGTGTGATTAACCTGGTAAAGGAAGACAATTTTGTGATGATCCAAAAGATTCTTCCCCTTTGTAGTGAGGGAATAGCCCTGTGGTTGCATACATGCCTATGAGTTTCTGATATCTAAGTGCACCCTGAATATGAATATATTATGTGGGAAAGGAAACATTATAGCGCACTTCTTCCCAAGAAGAATTCATTTTCCTGACAACAAGAACTACCACAAGGGCAGATACTTGCCTCACAAGTGTTGGACTCAAAAGTCCAATCCAAGGAAAGAGACAGCTTTCTATGATGTTAAAGAGGGCTTACCTAGTGATGGGAGCCTCTCACCAATCAACTAACAAGCATAGGAAGTCTCTGAAATGTGTAAAGAAAAAGGTGGTATGCCTAAAGAACTTGGACTTTGAGAGGTGGCAGGACCTTCACTTTCCTTGATTTTTATAGTTAAATCTTCTTGAAAAAGCACTGCTGAAGCCTATAGCTGAGATCAATAACAGGCACGGATATCCAAGAAAAGCTTGATCTCCCAAACCAAAGGACTGGTAAAGGATTGCCTAACAACAGAAAAGTGGTTTGGCAATACTTGCCATACTTCAGGGAAACACCACACCCTCAGAAACCATAGAGGTTGACCCTCCATCCCATTTCCCCTTCCCTGCAGAACCAGGCAACACTCCAGGTCACCTGCTAGAGAACTGACATTAGGGTCCAGTAGTGAGCTGAACTCCCACACACCCACCCCACAGAATCAATGAGACTGAATAAAGTGATACAAGTAAGTTCTCTCGTAAGCAGCTGCTATCAGTGAAGCCAAGCAGGAAACAGAACTTCCAAACCTACCCTAATTAGCATTTGTCCTCTGCCTGGTCCCCCTGCATTCTCCCTACACCGCCTTGCCACTGTACACCATCATTGAGCCCCGTTAGGGAGCTGAGCTTATTACAACATTGAGAGAAAATAATGTGGTATGAGCCAGTGTCCCAGTTATCTCTAGAAGGATATCACAGGACCAAGAAGAGACCTGAACTTTATCACATTCATCTGCAAGGAGGAGTTTGAGTCAATACCCCAACTTGTCAGAGAGGCTTCAGCAGGGAATATTGCATATATAATTACCTAGCCTTTGTATTACACCTCCACAGAGGAATTGCCTACTTTGGGTGTGGAGGTAGAGGGGAGGATTAAGTAGGATCTGGAGTCTGTATAGGATATAATAGAAAATCACTAATATACCAAGAACCACAAAAATGACAAGAAGAATGAAAATTAAAACAGACTTTAACTCTGAGATGAAACAGATTTTGGAATTACCTGACAAAGTATCAAGCAGCCATCTTTTTATTTTATTTTATTTTATTTTATTTTATTTTATTTTATTTTATTTTTTTGACAGGCAGAGTGGATAGTGAGAGAGAGACAGAGAGAAAGGTCTTCCTTTTGCCATTGGTTCACCCTCCAATGGCCGCCACGGCTGGCACGCTGCAGCTGGCACACCGCGCTGATCCGAAGGCAGGAGCCAGGTACTTCTCCTGGTTTCCCATGGGGTGCAGGGCCCAAGTACTCGGGCCATCCTCCCCTGCACTCCCTGGCCACAGCAGACAGCTGGCCTGGAAGAGGGGCAACCGGGAAAGAATCTGGCACCCGACTGGGACTAGAACCCGATGTGCCAGCGCTGCTAGGTGGAGGATTAGCCTATTGAGCTGCAGCGCCAGCCCAAGCAGCCATCTTAAGGATGCTTTATCAAGCAGTTATGAGAAATGTTGACACAAATGAAAACATCAAAACCTTAGCAAAAAGTTAATAAAGAACCAAACTACAGACCTCAAAAGTATAAAAAAAAAATTTTTTTTATCTTTTATTTAATGAATATAAATTTCCAAAGTACGACTCATGTGTTACAATGGCTTCCCCCCCATACCGTCCCTCCCACCCACAACCCTCCCCTTTCCCACTCCCTCTCCCCTTCCATTCACATCAAGATTCATTTTCGATTATCTTAATATACAGAAGATCAGCTTAGTATACCTTAAGTAAGTATTTCAACAGTTTGCTCCCACACAGAAACATAAAGTGAAAAATAATAGATGATTTTTTTTAAATGATGATGAAATCAGGTCAGACCTATTGTCATGTTTAATCCCAGTGAGAGTCAAGTTGGGAATTGATAATTTCTTTCTTTTAAAAGTATAAAAAAAATTTTTAATAATAAAATTAAGAGTATAGAATAAGTGAAGTTGAAGACATATCTTCAGAATTTACGTGATATGAGCCTGGAACAATGGTGTGCTGAGTAAAGCCACTGCCTGCAGTGCTGGGATCCCATATGGGTACCAGTTCAAGTCCCGGCTGCTCCACTTCTGATCATGTTCTCTGCTATGGCCTGGGAAAGCAGTAAAAGATGGCCCAAGTCATTGGGCCCCTACACCCACGTGGGAGACCTGGAAGAAGCTCCTGGCTCCTGGCTTCAGATCGGCACAGTCTGGCCATTGTGGCCAGTTGGAGAGTGAACCAGCAGATGAAATTATAGTTGAAATTTATCAAATCAGGGCCAGAGCCATGGCACAGTAGGTTAATCCTCTGCCTGCAGCACTGACTTCCCATATGGGTGCTGGTTCTAGTCCCGACTGCTCATCCAATCCAGCTCTCTGTGGCCTGGGAAAGCAGTAGAAGATGGCACAAGTCATTGGGCCCCTACACCCACGTGGGAGACCCGGAAGAAGCACCTGGCTCCTGGTTTCAGATCGGTGCAGCTCTGGCCATTACTGCCATTTGGCGAGTGAACCAGTAGATGGAAGACCTTTCTCTCTTTCTCTCCCTTTCACTGTCTATAACTCTACCTCTCAAATAAATAAATAATCTTTAAAAAAAAGTTTATCAAATCTAGTAAAAGACCTGCGGTCTCATGAAGCTTAGGAAATTTAGGAAAACTCAAATTCATGCCAAGACACATCATAATTAAACTTAGGAATACCTAAAAACAGTGAAAAACCTGCAAAACAGGCAGAGAAACCATGCATTACTTGTAGAGAAACACCACTTCAAATGACTAAAAGTTTCTTATCTGAAACCAGAAGGAAGTAGCATGTTTTTCAGGTGCTGAAGAAAAGAATTGACAGCTGTGAGTTCTATATCTGGCTAAACTGTTCAGGATTGAATAGGAAATAAAAACATTCTTAGGAAAAGAAAACCTAAGAGAACTTACGGCTTGCAGGC